ACCATCACCATCACCATCACCATCACCATCATCACCATCATCACCACCATCACCATCACCATCATCATCACCATCATCCATCATCACCATCATCGCCATCATCACACCATCATAATCAACATCCGTACCCGTTTTGGCGCAAGCCGTTTTGCCTCAGACTCCGCGGTCGACGACGATCGAGCACGCCACCCACGGAGGCGGCGACAATGGTGCAGGGGGACTACGCCCAAGTCGACGGGGCCGCGAGGGAGGTGCCCGCAGACGGCACGGGTGCCCACGACGCCGCCGCCAGGCTGAAGGCCGCTTTCGACGGTACGCCCTTCAAGTGGAAGGTCGCGATCGCGGCGGGCATCGGCGTCGCGGGCGTCGCGGCGCTGGGCGGAGTCGCGGCGGGCGCTCGCGGCGCGCCCGGCGGGGCCGCCGTGGCGGCGGCGCACGGCCAGGCTGTGCCGGCGGCGGCGGTCGCGACGGCGGACGCGCACTCGCGGCTGGAGGGCCCGCTGGCGACTGGCAAGAGGACGCTCGAGGAGCCGCCAGTGGTGAGCGAGGACGGCTTCGGGAACGCCAGTAGCGCCAGCAACGCCTCCAACGCCTCCCACGCGTCCCACGCAGCGGGTGCCTCGTCGACGGCCAAGCCCAAGCCAGCCGAGCGCCCCGCTGATTGCGGCGACCGCTTCAGGGCGCCGAAGAAGCCGAAAACCGCCGACGAGCACAACGGCGTGGCCCTGGAGGACGTCTGCTTCGAGGAGGACGGCCCCCACCACGTCTTCATCATCGGCGACTGGGGCGGCATCACCCAGGGGGACGGACGGCTGGCCGCCGCGCCCCACCTCACGCACCGCTGGGAGACGAACTACAACTTCGTCTGGCCCCCAGATGAGCAGGCCCAGACCCTCGTCCGCGACCAGATCCGGAAGCGCGCCCCGGACAGCAGGCCAGACTACTTCCTCAACGTCGGCGACAACTTCTATTGGGCAGGCGTCGAGGACCACTGCGGCGCGAAGGACATAGCGGATGCTTACAGCCAGGGCGGCACCACCGTCTATAAGGAGCATAAGGTGAACCAGTTCGACCACGTGTACGAGAAAGTCTACACCGGGGATGGCGTCGACGACAAGCAGTGGCTCGGCGTCTTGGGCAACCACGATTACGGTGGCTGGCTGTTCACCCACGCCTGGGACCAGAACATCGGCTACACCTGGAGCTCAGCCGATTACTCAACAGGGCGTTGGATGACTCCAGCCATGTATTATCAGTCCAAGGTGTGGTACCCAGATTTCGCTGTCGACTACTACTTCCTGGACACCAACATCTTCGACGCACTGGACCCCAAGGATCCTTCCCCGCACAACATCTGCTCCGAGACGCACAACGATGAGGAGCCCGTCACCTGTGCCCCTGTCGGGCCGAGCGGCGTTTGGAAGTGCCAGGATTGGTTCGGCAAGCTCTGGAAAAAACAGCAGAAGTGGCTGGACGAGGTGGTGCCAGAGTCGACTGCCGACTGGCGCATCGTCGTGACACACTTCCCCCCGAGCTGGGGTGCGCCCGACTGGAAAAAGCTCGCTCCAAAACACGAGATCGATCTCGTCATCGCTGGTCACAGGCACATCCAGGACATGCACCAGCCCGGCGACAACAGGAAAATGGTGTGGCACAACGACCCGAACGAGTTGTACAACGACTTCCTGGACCCCACCGTGTGGGTGACCTCCGGCGGCGGCGGTGGCGTCACCTCCGAGCGGGAGCCGTCGATGGACGGCAATGATGACCAGTATGGGTTCATGGATATGACCCTGGAAAAAAGTAAAATCACCATTGAGGGTATCTCCCACGGTGGTCAGCTTCGCAGGAAGCTCGTCATGGAGCCCGCGTTCCCTCACCATCCTCTGTACGACGAGGCCAAGGCGAAGAAGGCTGCTGTGGAGGCCAAGAAGAAGGCAACTGCCTGGACGAAAGAGCACGCAGAAGAGTTGAAGGAAAAGGACAAGGCGTGGGCCGAGGCACACAAAAATACGTCCGAGGTGGACGGGGACAGTGATTCTGAGGCAGAGGCCCAGGCCGAGTGAGCACATTAGTCCACTCTGTCAGAACGCGCTCGTCAAGCGAGACAAGGAGAAGTTTCGAACGGTTGGCCATCGTTTCAAGTCGTTAGACACGCACGAGTCATTGTCTTGTGTGGGTGAAGAGCCTTGCAGCAATGCAGCGGCTCGCGAGCATAGCTTCATACTCGCGGGTGTCCCTCCAAGGGCTCGTCCACTTCGAATTCTGTAACGTCGCGACCACAGTGTTGCAGAGGCTATCACATAGCCGAGACAGTTGACAGGCATGCAACCTCTTGAAATTCGCACGTTCCAAAGGCGGACAAACTACCATAGAAATTTGCCCCGCAGTAGGACGGACCGATTCAACCACATGCTAAGAAAGGCCATCTTATCACCATCAAAATCAACATCATCAACATCAGCAACACTATTAACTTCACAGGTGCCATCATCACCATCGGCAGCATCAGCATCTGCACCAGCATCATCACCATCATCACCATCATCATCATTGCCGCCAGCAGCATCACCAGCATCATTCTCATACCCACCACAATCGCCATCACTATCACCATCACCATCATCACCATCATCACCATCATCAGTATCATCATCGTCATCATTGTCACCATCACCATGATCATCACCATCGGCAGCATCATCATCAGCATCATCATCATCATCATCATCTTCAGCAAAATCAGCATCATCATCACAATCATTATCATCAGCACCATCCTCATCACCATGAGTAGCATTACCATCATCATCATCATCATCAGCATCATCATCATCACTTGCATCATCACCCGCATCATCATAATCATCATCAGCACCAGGATCGTCACCAGCATCATCATAAACCTCACCACCAGCAACATTTACCATCATTTCATCATGAGCGCCATCACCACCATCGCCATCACTGTCATCACCATCATCAACATCACCCTCATCACCATCACCACTATCACCATCACCGTCACCGTCACCGTCACCGTCACCACCATCACCATCACCATCACCATCACCATCACCGCCATCACCATCACCATCACCATCACCATCACCATCACCATCACCATCACCATCACCATCACCATCACCATCACCATCACCATCACCATCACCATCACCGTTACCATCGCCATCACCATCACTATCACCATCACCATCACCATCAACATCGCTATCACCATCACCATCACCATCACCATCACCATCACCATCACCATCACCATCACGATCACCATCGTCGTCGTCGTCGTCGTTCTTCTCATCGGTCGTCCTTGACCTCCTCCACCTCCTGGTTCTCCCCGTCGTCGTTTGCCGTGGCCCCCGCGACTAAGGCAGCGAGTGGCCGCCGACCATGTTTAAGGGTTCTTCTGGGATATTTTAGTTTTTTGTGTTTGTGTTTGTGCTTGTGTTTGTTTGTCTGTCTGTTTGTTTGTTTGTTTGTTTGTTTGTTTGTTTGTTTGTTTGTTGCTCTTTCCCAATCAAAACTTGCCTCTGTAGGGGCTTGCGGATTCACATGTGTAGGTGACCTACGTCGCCGATTTCGGTGGCCAGGCCGGGTGCCTGGGGGTGCCCAGAGGTGCCCGGGTGCCCGGAGGTGCCCGGGGGTGCCCGGGGGTGCCCGGGGGCCCGGGTGTCCGGGTGCCCGGTAGCCTCATAGCCCTATAGCCCTACAGCCTTATAGCCCTATAGCCCTATAGGCCTAATAGCCCTATAGCCCTATAGCCCTGTAGCCCTATAGCCCTAATAGCCCTAATAGCCCTATATCCCTGTAGCCCTATAGTCCTATAGCCCTATAGCCTTATAGCCTCATAGCCCAACAGCCCTATACCCCAATAGTCCTATAGTCGTATAGCCCTATAGCCTTATAGCCCTATAACCGTATAGGCCTATCGTCCTAATAGCCCCATAGCCCTATAGCCCTATAGCCTTATAGCCTCATAGCACAATAGCCCTATACCCCACTAGTCCTATAGTCGTATAGCCCTATAGCCTTATAACCCTATAGCCGTATAGGCCTATCGTCCTAATAGCCCCATAGCCCTATAGCCCTATAGCCGTATAGCCTCATAGCCCAATAGCCCTATACTCCAATAGCCCTATAGCCTTATGACCTTATAGCCCTATCGCCCTCTAGCCCTATCGCCCTGTAGCCCTACAGCCCTAAATAGCCCTGTAGCCCCATAGCCCTAATAGCCCTATAGCCCTATAGCCCTATAACCCCATAGCCCTATAGCCCATGGGGGTTTTGTCTGGTATCATTCTCTATTATTTCATTTTTTTCTCTCACTGCGTGTTTCTCGGAAGTCCCTCCCCCCTGACTTTGGTCAGTTTCCACCCTGAGTTTTTTTTGCATGCCCAGGGGCCCGACACCCCCCTCTGGAGTCCCAACTGAAGGACGACAGCACCTGGCATTGAGCAACCCAGGATGTTCGAGGACTGGATGCCTCGTCCAAGCTTGTGGGCTCTCAGAGATCCCCGAGCTGCTGTCTGCCATCGTTTGTTCTGCTCGTGTCATGCCGCGCCTTGGCTGGAGGGGGGGGTCACTGGCACAACCCCCCGCGTGCGCAACCGCGCGCGGGGAAGGGAAGAGGGAGGAGGATCCTCCAGGACAGGCAGGATTAGGAGGACGAGAGGGGGGGAGGTTTGAATATTGCAGCCCTGGCTTTGCAGATGGCATGGCCTCAAGGCCCAAGGCAGGCCAGCCTGCGGGTCCTTCAGCCCAGGTGCATGTTCGGACCTCGTTCAGCATGGACCCCCAGGGATCGTTGATGGAGGTAAGTTGGATGACGGAGGGGGGGGCAGCCGCTCTTTGCCCTACAGGAAAAACATAATGAGATGGAGGGTGGGAGGATCGTTTTGGTTTGTGTCAGGCCCTCGCGCTTGCATGCCTGGTTGAGACATGGGATGCCCTGCCCTCCGTTCTCTCGGACTGCCCTGCAGGATGTGCCTACGCCGGCTGGCAAGACGTATTCTGCGTTGGGCAGCTGGTTGTGCAGATCGATGTTTTGAGACGGTCGGGCGGGTGCGGTGATAAGCACGCTGACGGCGGGATCTTACAAGTAAAGGTATTCATGAGCTTTCAGACAGTACGCCCCCAACATATATTTGTTTGATCAGGAATTCTGAATGACTCAGAGTGTCTGAAGCAGGCCATGTTGAGCAAGACTTTGCCAGAGAAAGGGGTGGGAATCCCTTCTCTTCTGCCTAGTCTGTCTCGCACTGCCCTGACACCCGCTGGCCACACATGAGTCCGCAGGGCGTCGCTTGCTACTCCCAAGGGCAGGCGGTCCTTCTCCAATGGCGATGGCGATTCGATGGCTCCGGCGTTGTTGACCAGCGTGCGACAGTCGCCATGTACAGTTGTGTATGCAGTTATAGATCTACACGCATCGAGAGTGGGGATGTGCAAGCACACACACACATACAGACAGACAGACAGACAGACAGACAGACAGACAGACAGACAGACAGACAGACAGACAGACAGACAGACAGACAGACAGACAGACAGACAGACAGACAGACAGACAGACAGACAGACAGACAGACATACAGACATACATACATATATACATATATATATATATGTATGCACATGATAGTCAGCGGGGACCCCAAACTGTGACTTCTTGCAGTCTATGCGGTGCAATCCCCGAGGTGCAGTCAATGTGGTTCAATCTAGGTGATTCAATGCAATGCAGAGCAATGCAGAGCAATGCAACGCAATGCAAATCAATGCAACGCAGTGCAACGCAATGCAAAGCAATGTAACGTGATGCAGCGCAATGCAGCGCAATGCAACGCAATGCAACGCAATGCAAACCCATGCTTCGCAGTGCAAAACAATGCGAAGCAATGCAACGCAATTCGAAGTGAGTCAACACAGCGAACCGCAATGTACTAGCAATGCGGTAGCAACGCGCTAGCAACGCAATGCAAAGCAATACAACTCAATGCGACTCAATGCAAGGCAAAGTACCGCACTGCAGCGCAATACAACTCAATGCGATAGCAATGCGACGCAGTGCAAATATTATGCAACGCACTATGATAGCAATGCAAGTCAATGCAACGCAATGGGAAGAAGAGCAGTGCAGCGCAATGCAACGCCATGCGACGCCATGCAAAGCAAAGCAAAGCCATGCAACGCAATGCAGCACCGTCCAACGCAACGCGATCGGAACGCAGAGCAATCCCGTGCAATGCGCCAGCAACGCGCGACAACGTACGGCAGTGTGGGGCCATGAAGCGCAGTGCAGACCCATGCACATCAGTACAGCATGATGCAGATCAGTGCGAATCGGTGCAACGCAACTCAACGCAATGCAGTGCAGTGCAGTGCAGCATAGTGCGATCGTTGCGATCGCAATGCAGCGCGATCGCAACACGGTGCCCAAGGCGACGGGCGGCGACCGGGCGGCCCGCAGGCTCCCGTCGACGAGGCGGCGACGGGGCGGCGACGGGGCGGCGGCGGCGGTGACGTAGCCGCCAGGCCGCCGCGCAGGCCCAGGCGACGGGGGGCGACGGGGTGGCGACGGCGGCCACGTAGCAGCCAGACCGCCTACACACATATACACCTTGTAAGAGAAACGATCAGGTGCGCACGCACGTGTATATATACATATATATATATATATATATATATATATGCATGCATACATGCAAGCATGTGTATATATACATGTATACACGGTTATTATTCAGAACGACAGTTTCGTTCGAGTCATTCTCCCGCACATGGCTGCGGAGCTTCTCTTAAACTGCAGCCGCAAGGTGTGGAACATTTTCCTGCGCCACACACACATCGCAAGGTTTGGCAACCCCACCTGCGTTCGACTGCGATCCCGCAGTTGCCCCTCCTTCCCAACAGCCCCCTGGTGATCCCAATTATCCTCCTCTCCGTTATCCTCTGCTTCTCCATCACCTTCCTCCACCTCCTCCTCCTCTTCGGATCCGGCTTCATATTCCTCTTCTTGTCCATTTCTTACGATGGTTATGTGCTGCAGTTCTTTTTGTATGAGCATGGGCACTTGCGTGCCACTTGTCTATATATATATATATATATACATGTGTGTGTATCGTATTGACGGACACCTTCCTACCCCGACATATATACACATCGGTATCTGATATATATGTTTGTATATATAACCAAACGAAAGAATATGTTTGAGTATTGATCAGTATATGCATTCAACTTTAGCTACATATGTATATTTGATATTGTCCCTGTTACCTCCATCGGCTGCACTTCCTCCCAAGCGGTCGCAAGACTCGAGCACCCCACCAAAAGGCCTTACAATCCTTAAAGGGAGACTCCCGACAAGGCGTCCCAAGTGCTCGAGAAGCCTCCCCACCGTTCGCAGGACGCCCTGAAATGGCACCCGAAGAGGTTTCGACAAGCTCTAGTTTTTTTTTGTTCGACACACACATGCACTCTGTGTGTTGTGACGGTGGCGGGGAGAAGGAGTTTCCCACTTCAAGATCGCCCCGGCGGGCACCTCTGGGGTCTGGGGGGGCCCTTGGCAGTCTAGAGCCTCGGTTTCTTCGCGGTGCTTCTGGCAGTCTTGCTGTCGGTGTTGGGGCCATTTTCGGGTCGCCTTAAGAGTCTGGTCACCACCCACCAAACCACCCCAACCCAACCCGAAGGCTCAGACTTACCCTCGATTTCCAGTGGGGTGTGTGTCGGGGAACATCGAAAAAACACATGTGGAACCCTAACCCCCCCCAACCCGAATTCGGGTCTTCGGGTTGGGTTGGGGTGGTCTGGTAACGTCTGGGGAGAATAGTGGGTTAGTTCTGGTCCAGCTCGGAGCGGGGGGGCACTGGGCCACTCGGGCCCTGGGCGGGAGGGGCCCCAAGGCCGTCCAATGGCCATCCGCTTGCGCAGAACGTCTCCAGGGGTATGCTGAGCCCAGCAGAACAGACAGATGAAGAGGGGCAGGAGGAGGAGGAGGAGGAGGAGGAGGAGGAGGAGGAGGAGGAGGAGGAGGAGGAGGAGGAGGAGGAGGAGGAGGAGGAGGAGGAGGATGAGGAGGAGGAGGGGGAAATGGCAGAAGGCCTCCCTCCCGAGGGTCCCGAAGGCACGCAAGAAGCCGCGCCTAGACGGCGCATCGTCAGGAAGCCATTTGAAAGGAAGGCCACGACAAGTGTGGAAAGGGACGAGAAGGCAAGTGCTCCAATGCGCAGATACTGCACACATGCCAGTGCTGGACGGCGGACGACGGGACGATCTCGCGGAAGACGTGCCGTGGGCGAGGGGGAGGGAATGGGGCGGGTGCGGGAGGGAGGGGACGAGGGAGGGAGGGAAGGGGGGAGAAGGCAGCCTGAGGCAGCGTCGGAGCGGTTGGCAAGACTGCGCGACCTCGTGCCCCCAAGAGGCCCCGAGGATGCTGCCCGGAGGCCCCGGGCTCCCGGAGGGGGGACAGCGCGGCAGGCGCCCGCGGTGCCGTGGCGGTGGTCCCGTCTGCGCTGCGGGTGGGTGTGTGTCGCGGGAGGCGGGGCCCAGCCCCCGCCTCCCCCCTTCCTCGGCCGTCGCCTCGCCTCCCATCCTCCCCCCCTCCTGCATGGTGGCTGGATTCGCCAAACGTTGCCCCGTTTCGCCTTGCTCGCCAGCGCAGTCCCTCTGCCTAGCCGCCGACGTAAACAGCGTGTCGCAGCGCGGCGCGGCGGCCTCGGTCTCCGAGGCGGGGGGTGCGGCCAGAAGCTCTTGGTTCGCGCCCGCGGTTCTGGCCCACCGCGCTTCGGTGCGGCACGCCGTCGACGTCCGTGTCCGCGAGCCCCCGCGTTCCCAGCTGTTTCTCGCGCGGAGCGATGAAGACCGAGCGGGACGCGTGGCGAGGACGGAGAGATGTGCAGGGCGGGAGGGGGGATGGGGAGACACAGGTGGAGATAATGATCACAGGGACTTGTCCGCACACGTGTATAGACAGAAACCTACGAGCATATGAGAGATATTAGTTTGTGTGTATATATATACGGAGGTCGAGGAAGAGAGGGATATATATATATATATATACATTTCGCCTTCTTTCTCATCCTCCTCGTCGTCGTCCTCCTCCTCATCATCATCCTCATCGTCGTCGTCGTCGTCGTCCTCCTCCTCCTCCTCCTCATCCTCCCCCTTTTCCTCCCCTCCTCCTCGTCCTCCTCCTCCTCCTCTTCCTCCTCCTCCTCGTCATCATCATCATCCTCATCCTCCTCCTCCTCCTCCTCCTCCTCATCCTCCCCCTCTCCCTCCCCACCCTCTCCTTTCAACCTGTCTCCTCCCCACATGTTCATACACAAACCAAGTCTTCGACACTGCAAAGCACTTCCACGGCGCTACTCTGGAGGGGCATCCAAAAACGGATGCCCCTCTGTGGCGGACGCGGACCCAGGAGGGAACCCAAAAAACGGGTTACCATCACTGTGCCCGAACACAAGGCCACATGGTCGGACGCCTGTTACGCAAGGACACCAGCAACGCCTCAGCATCAGTGATGATACCACACAACAAACCAAAACTTCGACACTGCAAAGCGCTTCCACGGCGCTACTCTGGAGGGCACCCGAAAAACTGATGAAAAACCTTGTGTGTTTCCAGCTTTTCCAGCTTTTCCAGCTTTTCCCAGAGATTACCCTAGTGAAAAACCTTGTGTTTTCAAGCTTTTCCAGCTTTTCCAGCTTTTCCTGGAGATTACCCGGGTGAAAAACCTTGTGTTTTCCAGCTTTTCCAGCTTTTCCAATTTTTCCCAGAGACTACCCTGGTGAAAAACATTGTGTTTTCCAGCTTTTCCAGCTTCTCCCAGAGACTACACTGGTGAAAAACATTTTGTTTTCCAGCTTTTCCAGCTTTTCCATGTTTTCCCAGAGACTACCTTGGTGAAAAACCTTTTGTTTTCAAGCTTTTCCAGTTTTTCCCAGAGACTACCCTGGTGAAAAACGTGGTGTTTTCCAGCTTTTCCAGCTTTTCCAGCTTTTCCAGCTTTTCCCAGATATTACCCTGGTGAAAAACCTTGTGTTTTCCAGCTTTTCCAGCTTTTCCCAGAGACCACCCTGGTGAAAAACGTGGTGGTTTCCAGCTTTTCCAGCTTTTCCAGTTTTTCCCAGAGACTACCTTGATACAGGTTTTTCGCCAGGGTAGTCTCTGGGAAAAGCTGGAAAAGCTGGAAAAGCTGGAAAACACAAGGTTTTTCACCAGTGTAGTCTCTGGGAAAAGCTGGAAAAATGGAAAAGCTGGAAAACAGAAGGTTTTTCATTAGGGTAATCTCTGGGAAAAGCTGGAAAAGCTGGAGAAGCTGGAAAACACAAGGTTTTTTCACCAGGGTAATCTCTGGGAAAAGCTGGAAAAGCTGGAACAGCTGGAAAACACAAGGTTTTTCATCAGGGTAGCGTCTGGGAGAAGCTGGAAAAGCTGGAAAAGCTGGAAAACACAAGGTTTTTCACCAGGGTAATCTCTGGGAAAAGCTGGAAAGGTGGAACAGCTGGAAAACACAAGGTTTTTCACCAGGGTAGTCTCTGGGAAAAGCTGGAAAAGCTGGAAAAGCTGGAAAACACAAGGCTTTTTCACCAGGGTAGTCTCTGGGAAAAGCTGGAAAAGCTGGAAAAGCTGGAAAACAGAAGTTTTTTCACGAGGGTAATCTTTCGGAAAAGCTGGAAAAGCTCAAACACAATCACAGAGAGCGTGAAAGACAAACAGTCGAAGACAGCAGCAGACAATCACAGAGAGCGCGAGAGACAAACGCAAAGAGAGAACAACAAAACGAGAGAGAGGGATAGAGCGAGAGAGAAGGAGAGAGGGAGAGAGCGAACACGGAAGACGGAGATGTATGATCACAGGGGGGGGGGGGCGACCATACATATATATATATATAGAGAGAGAGAGAGAAAGAGAGAGAGAGAGAGAGAGAGAGAGAGAGAGAGAGAAGCAGAGACAGAGAGAGAGAGAGAGAGAGAGAGAGCGAGAGAGAGCGAGAGAGATAGAGAGATAGAGAGAGAGAGAGAGAGAGAGAGAGAAAGAGAGAGAGAGAGAGAAAGACTGAGGGAGGGCAGCGCGGTCGTGCGAGGAGAGTTCGTCTTGTCGAGGCGCTATTTTGCTGCACTTGCGGGGCTGGAGGTTGACGTGTGCATGAAGATCATCGGCCCTTTCTTTGTGCACTCCGCCCTGTCGGGGCGTGAAAAGGAGGGGGATGATGCGGCTGCTGCTGCTGATGATGATGACAATGATGATGATGACGATGCTGATGGTGGTGATGGCGATGATGATAAACATGATGTATCTTATGCAGATGACGATGATGATGCTGCTGCTGACCATGATGCTGATACCGATAGCGAAAATGCTAATACCAATGCTACTGTTGATGATTCAACTGATGATGATGATGATGATGACGATGTTGATGATTATGACGATGACGATGACGATTACGATGATGATGATGATGATGATGATTGGTCTGATGATGATGATGAAGGTGATGATGGTGATGATGGTGATGATGATGACGATGATTATGATGATGCTGATGATGATTATGGTGGTGGTGGTGGTGATGATGATGATGCTGATGATGATGAGGATGCTTACGCTGGTGATGGTGACGATCATGCTGGTTATTGTAATGGTGGTGGTGGTGGTGATGGTGGTGGTGATAATGATGATGATGATGCTGCTGATGATGATGATGATGATGATGAGGATGATGGTGATAATGGTGGTGGTGGTGGTGATGATGAGGAGAAGGTGGTAGAGGATGAAGGAGGGGGAGGGGCAGGAGGGGCGCAGGAGTGGGAGGAGGAGGAGGCGGAGAAGGATCAGGAGGAGGAGGAGGAGGAGGAGGAGGAGGAAGAATACGTGGAGGTAAAGGATGAGGGGGAGGTGGAGGAGGAGGAGTAGGAGGAGGACCAGTGTAAGCCCAAGACGCATCAACGATGTTGCAAAAAATCCTCCCTCCAAGCTCCCTCGTTATAGGTCCCCAAAGGAATTTATTTTCACTGCGAGATGTGCCCCGTTGGAATCTTCAATCGTGCCCATCGCCGATCCTGGTATTCTCAAGCTGCGAATCACCGTGATCGTTGCGTCCTGGCGATCCTGAATCGCGCTAGAGCACCTTTCCTGGGACTCCAACGCCGCTCAGCAATGTGACTGTTGCGCCATGACAGTCCTAAATCATGCCAGAACACAATTCTCGGGACGTCAAAGTGGCGCGAGTTGGCGCAAAGCTGTTCTGCTAGCCGGGTTTTTGGCCTCCGCGTCGGTCAGCTGATGAAGTGGGAGACCTCCCTCCAGAATGCCGGCCCAGTCTCTTGCGCACGTTCGCCCTTCCAGCGTTGACAGGAACAGCTGTCCCACGCTTGTTTCAAGACACTGCCGGTAAGCTGGCCCAGGCTTGTTTCAAGAATTGTCCGGCGCCTGGCGAGGGCCCCAGACATGTCAGGCAAAGTCGTTATGTCTTTCCGCGGTGGGCTCTTGAAGTGCAGTCAGGAGCAAGCCGCTCTGCCGCGCTCCGCTGGCTTCTGGTCGTGCCCCGTGCTGTGACGCCGCGATCCGTCCTCCTTGCAGCCCGTCGCTCAGCGGTGCGGTGCTGGCCTGCGCTTGCTGCGTGGCCGCGGCGGTTCCGTCCGTGCTCGCACCGTCAGGTGCAGTCGGAGCCTGGGTCGCCTCGGGCTCTGTGCAGCGGTGTCCGTGCACAGCTGGATTCCGCTGCAGCCGCCGCCTGGTCTGGCCTGCTGCTGACTGGAATGGGGGTTGGCTTTCCTGGCGTTGCAACTCCTTATTCCTTTACTCTGGTGCTCCTCATCTGGAAGTCCCGACCCAGGGAGATCCCCGAAAGTTCCGACCCCTCCCCCAGTTCCAGGTTTTCGTCCCGGTTAGTTTTTTAGAGGGGCCTGTCGAAGGCCCCCAGAGACAAGAAACGGCGAACATCTCGGTTCTTCTTTTTCTTCTCCTCCTTCTCCTCTTCCTCCTCCTCCTCCTCCCCTCCTCCTCCTCTCCTCCTCCTCCTCCTCCTCCTCCTCCTCCTCCTCCTCCTCCTTCTCCCCCTCCTCCCCCTCCTCCCCCTCCTCCTCCTCCTCCTCCTCCTCCTCCTCGTCCTCCTCCTTCTTCTTCTTTTCTCCAAGCTCCCTGCCTCGACACCCCGCCTGGGCCGCGGGGGCCCCGAGTCGGCGGGGGCTGGGGCGGACTTTCGTCGAGCTCCTGCCGCCCAGGGAGGGGCGCTGTCGACCAGCGAGCCTGCCGCCGCCGGCAGGCGGGAGACCAGCGAGCCCCCCGCCGCCGTCAAGCGGTCTGCTACTGCGTCGCGCTCCACGGCTGGGCCTCCTTCCTTCCTTCTCTCTCTCTCGAAGAAGAAGAAGAAGAAGCAGGATAATAATAATAATAGTAATAATAATCATAGTAATAATAATAATAATAATAATAATAATAATAATAATAATAATAATAATAATAATAATACAAACACTAATACTAATACTAATATTAATAATACTACTAATAATATTATTAATGATAATAAGAATAATAATAATGATGATACTAATAATACTACTACTACTACTACTACTACTACTACTAATAATACTACTACTACTACTAATAATAATAATAATATAATAATAACAATAATAATAATACTAATAATAATAATAATAATGATAATAATAATAATAATAATAATAACAGTAATAATAACAATAATAACAATGATAATGATAATCGCTATAAGCATAAACTTTTTGGCGCTCCTCGCGGATTTCTCGCATCCGCGCTGGGCCCTCCCGGCGGCGCCTCCTGTGCCGCTCCTGGCGCGCTCCGCGCGCCAGGGAGGGGGGTCCAGCGCAGATCCGAGACATCCGCGCGGAGCTCCCAAAGTTTCTGTCTCCCGCCTTCGCGGCCGCCCTCTGCTCTTCCACCCTGCGCCCCGCGCCCCGTGCGCCCTGCGGGTGCCGGCCCACGCGCCAGCGTCCGCCGGCGCTGCCGAGTTCAAAGTGATGGTGTCGTGCGGCTTGGCACGGTGCAGTATATTATTTTGCCTGCGGTCGGGAACTCTGGCCCAGCGTGTCGCGCAGCCAGTTCTGGCCCACCGCGCTTCGGCGCGATGCGCTATCCACGTCCTGGTCCCCAGGCGCCAGCGTCCCCAGCCTTTCCTGGCCTCCCGCCCCGCGGAGCGGAGCGACACGCCATCCACCTGCAAGGCACAGCGTGTCTCCGGGGCCGCCTGGGGGGGCTGTTCACTCATGAGAGCTTCCCGCCGCTGGCAGAGAGAGAGAGAGGCCATGGTATCGTTTGGTCTGGTATTGGTGGTGCAGTGCGGTATGATGTTGCGTTATGGCATGGTGTTGGGCGTCGCAGTACAGTGCAGTATAGTACGGCTTGCAAAGCTAACATGTTCAGTCATATGCAACCGCGTCGGAGGATGTCGTCGCTACACTCTCCGTGACATGAAGCTGCTACTGTATGGTATGGGTTGGGATAGAGGAGTTGGAGGCGGGGGCAGAGGGTGGAGGGATTGAGGGACAAAGCATAGGGGAGACGAGGGCAAAGGAGGGAGGGATGGAGGAAACGAGAGAGGGAAGGAGGGGGGCAATCAGGAAGGGGAGGGAGAGTGGAATAGAGGGAGAGAGGGACCACCAGCGGGGGATAGGAGGGCAAGGCGGAGGGTAAGGGGGATGGGAAGAGAGCGGAGTGGAGAGTCGTCAGGGAATGGCGAGGGAAGTGGAGAGGGGCGAGGAAGGAAGACGGAAGGGGAGGGGAGGGGAGGGGAGGAAAGGGGAGGGAAGGGGGAGGGGAGGGTGGGGGGAGGACCGCGAGAGCATGGGCGGCTCAACCCCCTGGCCTCCGCACTTCCCCGCCTCGCCAGCGAGGTGCTGCTCGCACTGGTGCTGTTTGGCTTCGAGTCGTACGGCTTCTTCTTCATGCTACTCCCTATGCTTCTGGAGTCTGGCGAGGTCGGGGCGCGTGCTCCCATCCAGTTATCCCCCCTGCCCTTCCCCCTCTCCCACTCCCCTCTCCCATTTCCCTCTCCTCCCCTTGCCCCTCCTCAAGAGAAGGAGGACGAGGAGGCAGGAAGAGGGAGGAGGGGGACGGAGGGAGGGAGGGAGGGAGGGAGGGAGAGGAACAGGAGGAGGAGAAGGAGGAGGAGGAGGAGGAGGAGGAGGAGGAGGAGGAGGAGGAGGAGGAGGAGGGAGGAGGAGGGAGGGAGGAGGAGGGAGGAGGAGAGGAGAGGACGAGGAGGAGGAGGAGGAGGGAGGAGGAGGAGGAGGAGGAGGAGGAGGAGGAGGAGGAGGGGGAGGAGGGGGAGGAGGGGGGAGGAGGGGGAGGGAGGAGGAGGAGGGGAGGAGGGAGAAGGAGGAGGGGAGGAGAAGAGAGGAGGGGAGGAGGGGAGGAGGAGGAGGAGGAGGAGGAGGAGGAGGTGGAGGAGAGGAGGAGGAGGAGGAGGAGGAGGAGGAGGTGGACGAGGGAAGGAGGGAGGATGAGGAGGATTGAGCGTATTTTGAAGTTTTGAGCCTTCTGTGGTGGCCCTCCGGGGCCTCCTGTCCTATCTCTGCCGTTTTTTGCTTTCCTTTTTTTACTCACATTAAGAATACTTCTCTCCTCTCTCCCCTTTCTCTGTCTGTGAGATGCCCCGCCCTCTCCGCGTATTGTTTTTCGCACGCAGGGTTTCAGAACTCTTTTTTCCTTATGTATTTGTTTCCAATCCCATCATGTCCCATTCTTCGAAATGGTGCTCCCGCTGCAGCGCTGGCCTCTTTTCCGCGCTTCCCGTCCTTCAAATCGTGCTCCCGCTGCAGAGTTGGTCTCTTTTTCATGTTTTCCTTCCGAATGGTACCTCCGCTGCGTTTTCGGTTTCATGTTTGTTTTTGGGTCATTCAAAACGTGGCTCCAGCTGCAGCTTTGGTCTTATTTCCAAATTGTCGGTCCTCCAGCCTGGTTTTCCAGACGCACCGTTCGTGCAACCATGGTGTGCAATTCAATGCTTTGTTATGTGCCGCTATTATGCTGCCGCGCTCTCCTACGCCATGTTATACGCATCGCGTGCCCTTTTGAGATCGTTGTCCTCTTTGACATCCGACTGTGCGAATAGAGAGGGTATCTACGCAATGGTAAGGGATGGGAAGAAGGGGCATGACGTCAGATGTGACGCGAGCGTACCAAGCTTGCCCCCCCCCCCTCCCCCCCTTTCTTTGCCTCTCCTCCTATCCTCGCCTCCCCTGTCCTCTCCTCCTCTCCTGTTCTCCCCCGCTCTCCTCCGCTCCTCTCCTCACCCACCGTCCCCCTGCGCCCCACCTCCCCCTCACCCCGAATCTCCTCATGCCAAGGGGGGGAAGGGGGCACCGGATGACGAGTTGTTTGCCCCCTGCGACAGGAGCTACGAAAGGGGCGCCGCCCGGTCGTCGCCGTCGGAGCCGACGCCAGAACGCAGGGAGGAATGCCCTTCCTCCCTCCTCCCCTCCCCCCCCGCGTCGGCGGATGGAAGCCGAGCCAGCGCCACGGGAAGGCATGGGAAGGAGGGGTAGGATGCCAGGTGTGGCGCGAGCGCGCCCAGCTCGTCTCTCCCCCCTCTCCTCCGCTCCCCCCCCTCCCTCTCCTCCGCTCTGCCGCGCCTCCCCCCTGAGCGACTCTACAATTATTCAATATGAATATACTCTCCCTCTTCCCCTGATGGCGTCCGGGTGATGGCCGCGCACCCTCCGCGTACTGTTTAACACACAGGATGCCCGGGAAGTCCCGGGAAACGACTGTCGCTGAGGCGCCGGCGTCATTTTCTTCCCCTGATGGCGTCCTGGTGATGGCCGCGCACCCTCCGCGTATTGTTTTTTACACACAGGATGCCCGGGAAATCCCGGGAAACGACTGTCGCTGAGGCGCCGGCGTCATTTTTTTCCCCAGATGGCGTCCGGGTGATGGCCGCGCACCCTCCGCGTATCGTTTTTTAACACACAGGATGTCCGGGAAATCCCGGGAAACGACTCTCGCTGAGGCGCCGGCGTCATTTTCTTCCCCTGATGGCGTCCGGGTGATGGCCACGCACCCTCCGCGTATTGTTTTTTACACACAGGATGCCCGGGAAAACCCGAGAAACGACTCTCGGTGAGGCGCCGGCGTTATTTTCTTCCCCTGATGGCGTCCGGGTGATGGCCGCGCACCCTCCGCGTATTGTTTTTTTTACACACAGGATGCCCGGGAAATCTCAGGAAACGACTCTCGTTGAGGCGCCGGCGTCATTTTCTTCCCCTGATGGCGTCCGGGTGATGGCCGCGCACCTTCCGCGTATTGTTTTTTAACACACAGGATGCCCGGGAAATCCGGGAAACGATTCTCGCTGAGGCGCCGGCGTCATTTTCTCCCCTGATGGCGTCGGGTGATGGCCGCGCACCCTCCGCGTATTGTTTTTTACGCACAGGATGCCGGGAAATCCCGGGAAACGACTGTCGCTGAGGCGCCGGCGTCATTTTTTTCCCCAGATGGCGTCCGGGTGATGGCCGCGCACCCTCCGCGTATTGTTTTTTAACACACCGGATGCCCGGGAAATCCCGGGAAACGACTCTCGCTGAGGCGCCGGCGTCATTTTCTTCCTCTGATGGCGTCCGGGTGATGGCCGCGCACCCTCTGCGTATTGTTTTTTAACACAGGATGCCCGGGAAATCCCGGGAAACGACTCTCGCTGAGGCGCCGGCATCATTTTCTTCCCCTGAGGGCGTCCGGGTGATGGCCGCGCACCCTCTGCGTATTGTTTTTTACACACAGGATGCCCCGGAAATCCCGGGAAACGACTCTCGCTGAGGCGCCCGCGTCATTTTCTTCCCAGGATGGCGTCCGGGTGATGGCTGCGCGTCCTCCGCGTATTGTTTTTTCCGCACAGGATGCCCGGGAAATCCCGGGAAACGACTCTCGCTGAGGCGCCGGCATCATTTTCTTCCCCTGGAGGCGTCCGGGTGATGGCCGCGCACCCTCCGCGTATTGTTTTTTACACACAGGATGCCCGGGAAATCCCGGGAAACGACTGTCGCTGAGGCGTCGGCGTCATTTTCTTCCCCTGATGGCGTCCGGGTGATGGCCGCGCACCCTCCGCGTATTGTTTTTTAACACACAGGATGTCCAGGAAATCCCGGGAAAAGACTCTCGCTGAGGCGCCGGCGTCATTTTTTCCCAAAGTGCTGCTCTCGTTGAGGCGCCGGCTTCGTTTTTGCTCCCGAATCCTTCCCCTGATGGCGTCCGGGTGATGGCCGCGCACCCTCCGCGTATTGTCTTTTACACGCAGAATGCCCAGGAAATCCCGGGAAACGACTCTCGCTGAGGCGCCGGCGTAATTTTTTCCCAAAATGCTGCTCTCGTTGAGGCGCCGGCTTCATTTCTGCTCCGGAATCGTTCCGAATCGTGCTCCCGCTGCAGCGTGCGTCTCATTTTCGGACCGGTGTTTGGCCTCCGTCGTTCAGGATGGCGTTCTCGCCCCAGCGCGGGCCTTTTTCTCGCGCGCCCATCCGCCCGCCACCACCGCGCCGCACCGCCACCACCACCACCACCACCACCACCACCACCACCACCACCACCACCACCACACCACCACCACCACCACAACCACCACCAGCACCAGCACCAGTACCACCACCACCACCAGCACCACCACCACCACCAGCACCACCACCACCACCACCACCACCACCACCACCACCACCACCACCACCACCACCACCACCACCACCACCACCACCACCACCACCACCACCACCACCACCACCACCACCACCACCACCACCACCACCACCACCACCACCACCCACCACCACCACCACCACCAACCACCACACCACCACCACCACCACCACCACCACCACCACCACCACCACCACCACCACCACCACCACCTACCACCACACCACCACCACCACCACCACCACCAACGCACCACCACCACCACCACCACCACCACCACCACCACCACGCACACACGCAACGCACGCACGCACGCGCACCACACACGCACGCACGCACGCACGCGCACCACCACCCACTACGCACGCGCGCGCGGAGCCACAGGTCCGCTACGACACGCGTCCGCGGATAGAGAAAATCAGCGCCATGGTAAGGGATGGGAGGGAGGGGTAGGACGTCAGATATGACGCGAGCGCACCTAGCTTGCCTCCTCCTCCTCCCCGTCCTCCTCCTCCTCCTCCTCCTCCTCCTCCTCCTCCTCCTCCTCCTCCTCCTCCTGGGGGCGCCGCGGCCCGCGCGTCACTCCCCCCCCCGCTGCTCCCCGCGCGGCCCCTCGTGCCTGCGTGCCCTTTTTGCGCGCGTGCGCGGCAGGTCAGGACCCCCGCGCGCGCCCCGCGGCACCTCGCGGCGCCCCCAGGAGGAGGAGAGGAGGAGGAGGAGGAGAGAAGGAGGAGGAGGAGGAGGAGGAGGAGGAGGAGGAGGAGGAGGCGGAGGAAGGAGGGAGGAGAGGAGGAGGAGGAGGAGGAGGAAGAGGAGGAGGAGGAGGAGCAGAGAAGGAGGAGGAGGAGGAGGAGGAGGAGGAGGAGGAGGAGGAGGAGGAGGACCTCCCCCGCCCGCGCGCGCCCTGCCGCTGCGCGGCCTGGCTGCGGGCATCACGGGCTTGGAATCGCCTCGAGTTTCCCTGCGTTAGACGCGCACCGTAGACACGCTAACGGCCAACGGCGATGTCGATAACGACGCTTTAGGTTTCGGTGTTGTGGGTGTGGGTGGTCCGTGGCCAACCCGATTGCGGGAGAGCGTTGTTCGTGTTTTCCTGCCATTTGCCCTGCGCGAGTTCGGCGCCGCCGAAACCAGATTCCCAACATCGCCGTTCACCAACATCGCCGCAAACGTGCCCTCGGACGCAAGCGCCCTCTGAGAAGTTGCCCGCGCAGCCGACGGCAGCTAGCACTGTTCGCCCACCCTCCAGCAGGCACTGTTTTTCTTCGGTGTTTTCGGTCGCCTGCGTGCTTCT